ATCCTACGCCGCTTCCTTGGGCATTGACAGCTCCGTCTACCGGAAATTTCTATACGGGAAGGTCAGGTATTAGCAGTGTGACTTCCGCGGGTGTTACAGCGGTGAATTCTGCGATGAAATCTGCCAGGATTTGCCCTTTGATTGCAATTCTCGGCTTATACCTAATATTGAATTCGCTAAGCTCAATTGCTCACTTAACTAGCCTTCCTGAGGACTCTAGTTTATGCAGCACTTGTTTTATTGGCTGATCTGTTAGAACCTCGATAGTATGAGCCTGAAAATATGGTCTAAGTCTCCTAGCCGTAGTAACCAGGGCCAAAACTAGTTTTTCCATCTTTGGATATCTCTCCTCTGTCCCCCTCAGAGCTCTGCTACAATAGTAAACTGGTTGCTGAGCTCTGTCTCGCGCCCTAGCTAGTGTTGCGCTGGTTGAAAAGTCTAAGACAACTAAATAAAGAGTAAGCACTTCCCCTTCTAAGGGGCTTACCAAGACAAGGGGAGAGCTTAGGTACTCCTCCGGTGCTTTGAACGCTTCCTCACACCGGGCGTCCCACTGAAAAGCCTTTTTCAAGACCCGAAAGAAAGGTTGACACTTGTCACTTGATTTGGATACAAAACGACTCAAGGCGGCTATCCTTCCTGTCAGGCATTGGATCTCCCTGATGTTAAACGGTGGTCGCATATCCAGAACTGCCTTAACTTTTTCTAGGTTAGCCTCGATTCCTCTGCTATTGATTATGAATCTCAGAAACTTCCTTGCTGATACCCCAAAGGCGCACTATGCAGGGTTAAGTTTCATCTTGTACTCCTTAAGAATTTGGAACGATTCTGCTAGGTGCTCTATGTGCAGCTCTGCCTTCAGTGATTTTACCAGCATGTCATCGATATAGACCTCTATAGATGTCCCAATTTGCTTCTGAAACATTCTATTCACTAGGCGCTGATAGGTGGCTCTAGCATTCTTTAATCTAAAAGGCATGACCTGGTAGTAGTAAGTTCCCAGTTCAGTCACAAATGATGTCTTCTCCTGGTCCGCTGGGTCCATCCTGATCTGATTATAACCTGAGAAAGCATCCATGAAGCTGAGGAGCTCATGCCCAGCAGTTACATCCACGATCAAGTCGATTCGACGTATGAGAAAACTATCCTTGGGGCATGCTCGATTGAGATCAGTGAAATCAATGCAGAGCCGCCATTTCCCATTGGTCTTCTTGACTAGCACCACATTCGCCAACAAGGTAGGATAGTCCATTTCTCTGATGGCTTTGGCGTGGAGGGAGTTTACTGACCTCCTCGTTAATTGCCTTCTGGCGTTCTAGAGCAAAACTTCTCCGCTTCTATTTAACAGGTTTGCAAATGGGATTCACGCTTAGCTTGTGTGTGATGATTGAGGGGTCAATGCCTTCCATGTCCTCTTGCTTCCAAGCAAACACCCCCATGTTCTTCCTCAGGAACTGGGTGAGCAGGTCTTTCATTTCTCTGCTCAACTTAGATCCCATGAATACAATATGTTCAAGCTCTTCATCGAGTTGGACTAGCTCTAGTTCTTCTAACAGCATAGGCCTAGTGTCCAACTCGTCTCTCATGTCAAGCTCATCTAGTTGGATATTTTTAACCTCTTTCTACTTCACCGAGGCCATGTAGCATTCCTGGCTATTCGCTGGTCTCCTCGGACCATTCTAACTCCATTTTCTGTAGAAAATTTTACGACCAAGTGATATACTGAGGGGATAGCCTTCATTGCGTTTAGGGATGGTCTCCCAAGTAGCATATTGTACCCAGAAGGGGCGTCAACCACCAGGAGTTTCACAGTGGTGGTGACTTGGCAAAGAGGGTGCCCCATAGTGAGCACGAGTTGGATGGATCCCAAGGGTAGCACCCTCTCCCCTGAGAAGCCCATTAAGTGAGCACTTACTGGCTCAAGCTTCTCCCTTCCTATACCCAGTTTGTCAAAGGCAGAGGTAAAAATGATGTCGCTGAGCTCCCATTGTCAATTAGAACTCGATGAACCGTTTGGTTAGCCACAATGGCCCTTATCACCAACAGGTCATTATGGGAATGCTGGCAGCCTTCCAAGTTTGAATCCAAAAAGTGATGATTGCGCTCAGCCGAGGTATTTTGGACACGGTGTGCACTTCCAGCGCTCCGCCAGCTCTGATCCTACGCAAGTGTGCTTTCCTGACTACACTAGATTCTCCACCGCCAGCAAATCCTCCAAATATCACTCTGATCTCCCCTAAGGGTTGCTGGTGCTGTGTAGGGGCTTGTTGCTGAGATGCCGGTGGTGGTGGAGCCCTGTTCTGGTTGTCATGGGCGACAAATCGTCGTAACTGCCCCCTCTGGATCAAGAACTCAATCTCCTTCTTTAGCTGAATGCAATCGTCGGTGTGATGGCCATGATCCCTATGATACTCGCAATACTTCGTAGGGTCTCTTTTAGTTGGATCTGCCTTCATTCGTGGAGGCCACCTTAGGAATTTCTCATTTTGCACCTCGTATAGGATCTGGGATACTGTTGCAGTGAGAGGGATGTATTGCTGAGGTGCATACCTCGGCTATAGTTCAGGCTGCGAGGGTCCTAAGCGGTCCCTAACGTTCCCCTTTCTTTTTGGGGATCGCTCTTTATCTCTTCTGGGAGATCTATCTCTCCTTGGAGATCTGTTTCTTTCCCTCTCTCTCCTGGGACTTCGGTTCCTCTTTTTCTCTTCCTTTCCCTTATCTCTATGTGCGGAAGAGCTCCCTACCTTAGAAAGAAGAGCTTCTTCGCCGTTTATATTTTTCTCTGCTTTGGCAAGCACCTCGGCTATACTTGCTTGGGGATTTTTTGATATGGACAACATCAAATCTTTAGATTGCACCCCTAGACTAGCTATGAAGGCAGTGATGGCGAACTTTTCGTCTGGGACATCCACCTTTAACGACTTTGAATTAAATCTTTGGACATAAGACCTGAGGTTTTCTTGAGGTCCCAGTTTTACATTCAAAAGATGATAGCTCGGCTTTCTATAGGTCCGAGCCCCTATGAAGTGAGATACAAAGGAAATGGAAAGTTCTTTGAAGGATGAGATTGAGGCCGAGGGGCGCCTGTTAAACCACGCCAAAGCTGAACCCTTCATAGTGATGGCAAAAGCTCGACAGCGTACGGGGTCCTGATACCCATGCAACTCTATTTGGTTCTTATAAGTATTGAGGTGGTCCATGGTTCCATCAAAGGACTCTATCTGTGACATCCTGAACTTTGGTGGGAGGAAAAAATGCAACACCCAGGTGTGAATGAAGATTCAGTCTGCTGCACCAAGGCATCTATTGTAATCCGAAGCTTTACTTCAGACCGCTTCCTTCATGTGGCTGAGCTCTTGTTGGATGCCCTTGAAACGTTGCTCCCAATATTGTTCCCTTCTTTCCTGCTGATAAGGGAAGACATTATTCTTTTCACCTTCATGATTTTGACTTTGTACTTCCTCATTATGGCCATTCCTAGGGGGTAGTTGGGAACCTGTCCGAAGGTCTGGCTGTTCTCCCCTCCTTCGTTGTCTTCTCTGAGTGGATCAAGGTGTTGTTGATCCCTGTGACGGGGACTGTTCTAACCTTCTTGGGCCGGACATGCCTCCTGTGGGCGCTGTAAGAGCTTCAAGAGCTCTTTGTTTTGCTTTATCAAACACTGATTGACGAGGCGAAGGGCCTCCATCTCGTTATTTGTAAGGGAATGTCTCATGGGAGGATCAGTTTCTGGGACGTTCTCGGACTGTCTTCCATTGGTGGCTCTCTGTTGGTCTTACATCTGAGATGGGTTTGTTTGGTTTCTGCTCATATTTCGTGTTGATACCATCGGTCACTGAAAGATCAACTTATTTGTAACAAGAATAGTCGTTCCCATAGACGGCGCCAAACTGATGGAGCAAACTAACGTGGGTAAACAGAATGCGTGGGACCAAAGGAGAATCTAGGCTACCAATCTTATGATGACAGTGATGAAGTGTTTCTTAGGGGGTTGAGGAATTTGCATAGTAGGAGTACAATGGTTCATCGACTCTAGAGCTCGGCTAATCCACTCTCTAATAGAGGTTCTTGCTTCTTTTTTCTCTATTGATCACTCAAAAATGTATTTCAATACAATGTATGGTTTTTCTCTGGTCCCCCTTCTCAATGAGGCGTTACATAGTATTTATAAGGCTGCCTCCTATTCTGTGGGATTTCAGCCGAGATCTTTGCCCATTATTCGTGGGATCCTCCTTAATTTTAGGAGAGAATCTTAGTTGGTTGAGAGTTTCATGCATTGGGCCCAATTTTCGCAGTCATCCAGTTGTTTCTTGGTCAGTTTTGCTACGATCTTCCCAAGGGGAGCTCTACCCCTGGTTCTCTGAGTTTCTCGTGTCTTTCCTGACCTTGACCTGACCTCTAACCTGACCTCACAGCTAGGGCTTGTTTGAGGCATCATCAATTACCATGCATGTTTACACATAATTTCTGGCGCACAATCGTCATAGAATAATCTTAATAACTGGATACCAATTTCCTTGCTTACCTATACTTCGAAGTTTAAACGAAGTCTATATACTTATTATTCACTAACCATCACCCATTATACATCTGCAATCAAAGATTAAATTTTGAAAGACTTGTACAAGCCTTCAGAATTTCACCTGATCTTGAATGTCATGTTGCAAGGAGAATAACACTTTGCATCACGTTACTGCCTCAACATTGAGGCTGATGCATCAAATCACTGGAGGTGCCAAAGTGTTCCGCATATTAAGGTGGGGAACCAGCGTGCCAAAGCCATACATGTGCTCCCCATCCCCCATCCCCTTTAACCCTTCTTCTTTATTTCTTTGTCTCTCTCACAGTCACAGTGCATATGATATTCAATTAATTTACTTTGAATTTTTTTGCTCGACTCTTTTTCCAAATGTCCTCATAAAAGGATCTAAAGAAAATGTAGTAAAAATATAACAATAGAACACTCCTTGAACTTAGAGAAGCAAAAAAATATATCTTACCATCTTCTCTGACAATACCATCATGTCCATCTGAGGAATATGGATCTAAAGCGACATCAGTGTATATAACCTATAGAAAAACTCATCAGAAAAGTAAAGATATTCCAAACTGCTTGTAAAAAAGCACCCCATCCTGGAAAGCCCATAACCCTTCCAATTGAAACAAACTACTAACAAAGTATCTTAACTTACAAGATCAGGGTACTTGTCTTTAAGCAACCGAATTGCTCGAGGCACCAATCCATTTTCATTGTATGCTTCATCTCCTGAGGGAGACTAAAGGGAAAAGGACCAATTACATCACATCAATACTAGGAACTGAACAGAACTTTAGATGACTTATAAAAACCTTTAAAGCATCTGGAACTTTTGGGAAGAGCACGACACTGTTAACACCAACATCCCTGGCCTTTGACACCTGCATCAGATAATGCTAACTAAAAAACTATTCTGACATCATTGGATGAACTACTTCACCAAATGCAAGTAAATCTTGAAGTTCATATTTTGCCAGTCAAAGCAAAAACCACTAAATTGAGTTGGTGAACTTACAATAGTGGAGCATCTAATAAACATGCTATGATGACTTATGAAGTATAAAGTCAGCTCATGGTATATGGGATTCCAGACCTTCATGTCAGATTATGAAGAAACCATGCATTTATTGCAAAACAATATTTTTAATGGTGCCAAGTTATTGATGACAACCGAGCACCTATAAGCTCATAACATTGCCATGTATTCAGGAAACGTGCTTGAGAAGCGTTGCTTAAATTGTGGGATTTTTTTTTTTATTTTTCTGACCAAGTCAGGATCTGAGATATCAATGGAACTTAATGCAATATTGCCAAATAAACAAAATATTAGCAAGAGCTTACAGACCTCTTCCACAAGTCCATGTCTCCATCCAAGCCTATAACATCCAGGCATAGCTCCAATAGGTGTGTCCTCTTCACCTGCAAATCTTGTAAGATGAGACATATTTATCAACCCAGAATAAGATAGGGGGGAGAGAGAGAGAAAGATGCCTCCATAGATGCCAACCTTCATGAATAAAAAGTGGGTAAACAAAGTTAGCAGGTGCTAACGTCGTTTCTTGGAAGGCTGCTCTCATCGCCAATGATTTACGATTGCGTCGAGGGCGCCGATTGAGTGGCTGAAAAAATCACATCAATAAGATCAAGATTGCTTACTGCAACCAAATACAATGTATGATGCTGAAGGAAATGACCTAACATCTTCAAAATTTTTCATCATCATAAATTCACCATTAACAAACAATATTGAGACACCATCACAATGTCCAGCACTAATTTCACAAAAGGGCACTCAAGACATATAAATGTAAATATTTGTGGTTTGTGTGTCATTTCAAGTTTTTGTAATACCAATTACAGCTAAGACTCCCCATTACCAATAACTATACGTGAAGTAGTTTGCTAAAAATCACATTTCGAATGATAACACACCTAAAAAATGCTAAATAACAATGATGCTCAAGAATATGTCCTAAAAACTCCCATACATCATAACAAACTCCATATGAACTCAATAAAGTTCCAGTTGCCATTGATTTTGGCATTGCTACTATTTTTTATGGCTAAATGAGGTGTCTGCCGCTCTTGGTGTAGTGAGCACTCAAGACCCAAGAAGCAATAATTAACAAAAATATTCCAAAAAGGTCAATACACCAATGCAGCTTAAAATATCATCATGAACAAATGCTAAGACTGGATAGAAAAATGTAAATGAATCATAGTTTATTCAGAACTTACAAGTGAAGGCACGACAGGAGTCCCAATGGGTGCAGCTGGTTTCGGGGGCACCGGAGGTGCTTCCGGTGGATTTCCGGCCACCACGGCAGCTTCGCAATCCTCATCACTCATCCCCATCTTTTTCATTGGTCCATCACGCGTTTCACTGGCCCTCACTACATACAAACGCCTTCTAGGTGCCTTAACTACGGGTCGAACAGATACGAAATTCTGATTCACCGACGGTATCAAACCTAAATTCTGAATTGCCCCAACATTACAAGACCCACATGGGATTGTTGAAGCCATGGCGACAGGGCACTCTCAAGTATACAAGGTCTGTATATAAAATAAAAATAAACCAGCTGAAAGTTATAGATTTGGAGAAAATTAAGGTCATATAATTCATGGGTTATCAGCACAAGTATTTAGACTATCCGATTCGTTTCAATAAAGGGTGAAATGCAAGAAATGTAAAAGATTTAAAATCACGTGTCCAAGGAGAGTACAGTTTTCTGGAGAAAATTGAGGAAAGTTCATGGGAAATCTTACCGGGTGTGAAGAAGCTGTTGGGCTGACAGGACAGTCTTAAGAATACAAGGTCTGCATATAAAAGAACATTTACCAGCTGAATGTTGCATGATTGAAGAAATTAAAGGTCGTACAATTCATGGATTATTAGCAGACCATCGAATTCAATTCAATGAAGGGTCAAAAGCAAGAAATGTGAGATCTTTCAATTCAAATGACTAACAAAACCCTGATTTTCTCGAGAAAATGGAGGGAAAGTTTACTGGAAAGCTTACCTGGATGCGAAGAAGCTATTGGTTTGAAAGAGACAGGAGGTGTCGAGCTTATCTGAAGAATTTGAGAGAAGCCAATGGGAGAGGGGGTGCACTGAACCTCCGCTGTTGGCGTAGATAAGTGGGACGACGTAGTTTTTGTCAAAATTTGCTGTCCAACAAAGAAGACAGCAACGATGTCGTTCAAATAGTTGGCTTCGAATTCAAACGGCTTCGTCTGCTTCCCCTGATTTATCGGTTCACATAGTTCAATTTTTTTTTTTAATTTCCTATTATAATCTTGACATAATCTTGCGACTATCATCGTTCGTCTACTATTTTTTTGTCACTATCTTTAATTGTTTGATATATGGCTAATAATCTTGCAACTATCATTGTTTTTCTACTACTTTTATGTGATTATCTTTGATTATTTGATATATGACTATTGGTGTTTTAGCCTTTGGTGAAACCGAGTTTTATGGGCATTGGTACGATAGATTTTGGTGCAGACAGAGTTATGTGGGCATTGACAGAAGATTTTGTGGAACTAAGTTATGTGGGCAGTGGTATCTAAAGTTATACGGCCATTGGTGACGAGTTCAGATTTAGATTAGGGTTGGGCTCAATTCATGGGTTGAGCCCAAACCATCAAAAAGTAGATTAGACTTAGTTTATGACCTCAATCTAATCAAAATTCAAGAGTCTAAGAAGAGTCAACGCACTTAGGAGAACAATTATCAGAATATCCATAATTCCAAGATAGTGTCTATCTCCAATTGTAACTATCATCTCCAGTAAACTGGCACCTTGCCCTGCATGCCACTGTCTCAACTAGGACTCAGTGTCTATAAATTATAAGTCCCTAACACATAGGGACATGAGATCACACACACCTCACCTTGAGCGTAATCATTAATAGAGTTCTCCTGACCACCATTGTCGCTTTCAGTTATTAGGTCACCCAGATTCAATTACCCAATCTTTGTCTCTTATTATTAACTACTTTATTAATTATTTTATTCCATACACTCAACTGATTTGATTGTGCATAAATTCATTTTTGTGTGTCATCAATTGGTACATAAGGTTTTCTTGTTGACAAGAAACATAAAAAAAATATGTATTTATTTGTTTTGTTTGCAATTGGAAATTTATAGGGGCATTTGTTGGTCTTTATGTTTAATTTGTATAACCATTTTTTCATTGTAGGGGACATAATCTACAGTAGAGATAGAATGTGTCGAGAATGATAAAGCAGAGAATACTCTAGGTATTGGAATGCAATTAGACTGGGAAAAATATACTTATAGGTTATATAATAATTATGGCAGAACTGTGGGGATTCAGTGTGAAAAAAGATTATCACATCAAAAGCTTGAATGATGGTGTATTAATTTATAAAAAATATGTATGTTGTAAACATGGACAAATGACAAGAGATCAAAGAGATTAGAAAACAACAAAGCCTCGAACAGACACACCAACAAATTGCCCCGCTTACATGTATATATCCCTTAAGAAAGACATCGGGAAATTTGTTATAGTCAAATGGGAAGCCTAACACACTCACATTTTGTATCTTGCCAAATGTATGCATATGATGTCATCCCAATGAAATGTTACTGTAGCTCAAGGCATCAATGTTGATATGGCTGTAGATTGTGGGATATCACTTAAAACGTCCTATGAGCTTATGAGTACACAAGCGGGTGGAAGAGAAAAATTAGGTTTCACTCCTGTAGACCACAAAAATTACATTTGAGAAAGGATACAACAAGACTTGAAATGCAGTGAAGCGGATAATTTGTTGTAATATGTTCAAGCAGAAACAGTTAAGAATCCATCATTTTATTATGGAGTCCAATTAGATGTCAAAGATGGCATCACAAATATGTTTTGGTTGACTTAGGGATAATTATCAATTATGGCGACTTTGGAAATGTTGTCACATTTGACACAATATTCCGAACAAACAACGAGTAACGACCTTTAGGCATTTTGATTAGATCAATCATTTCAGGGAGATAGTGATATTTGGTGCTACATTGTTGTACAATGAAACGACAATATCATTTCAATAGCTATTTGAGATATTCTTATAGGCAATGTCTAGGTAGAAGCTTATTACCATTTTCATTGACCAAGATCAAACAATAACTATGACTATATTTATAGTGATGTCGGAGACATATCACAAGTTATGATGTTGGTACCTTTCTTGAAATATTTTAAAGTATTTAGGAAATATATATAAGGATGGTTCAAAATTTACAGCACAGTTTAAAGAATGCATATATAGATACGAGGACAAACATGAGTTAGTTGATGTTTGAAAATTGTTGCTTAGTGAGGATAATTACAAGATAATATTTGGATGAATTCAACTTGGGCCTTGAGAGAAAAATGGGCACATATATATATGAAATAGACTTTTACAGCTAGTATGAGGAGCACTCAACTAAGTGAGAGTTTGAACTTGTTGTTTGTGGTTTTCCAAATATAGTAAAATTACTAATTGAAATATCTGATTTTTGTCATGCAACTTAGAATAAAATAGTAACAGTCAAGAACAAAAAAGTTACAAGTAAAAGCGAAATAATTACATGTAAGAATGAAACAATAACACGTAAATATGTAATTAACCCAAAGTATAAACTGACTTGTTTGCAGATCAGGAATTGTTATTGAACTTTCTGCATATCAAAGCTAATGTTTGACACAATGCTCTTAAGATCGATTTCGCCCCCAGACTTAGTGCTTATGGAAATCAAAGCATCTGCCTCCAAGATACAATGATTTTCACGCAAATAGAAGTAGTACTCTAATCTAATCGTCCATCGAACCGAAACTGTATTGTCTACTCTATGAATACAGACTGCTAATGCCAAAATATGATGTATGAGACTGCTTTAATATCTATGAAAATTAGATGATCAGAATTGTAATGAGCCTGAGTTTATATAGACAAACTAGTGACTGTTCCAAACAATCATTATGTGAACAAACTCAACCCAAAAGACGCATGCAACCTAGAAGACACCATGAAAGTTTGCCCATTAGGAACATACATGAATTCAAAATTTCAAACTGGAGGGAAGATTACATCCAAACAGGTGCTAAATTTGAATTCTAACAGGCACCGAAAATTAAATTTTGCATTAAAAAATTCATGCCCAATTCATTAAATGAATTTTCTCCAAAAAGAAAAAGATTTGTTTAACCCACACTCGTACCCGACCCGGCCCTACCAGGGTCGCAGCGAGGTGACGCGGGCAAGCGACGTGCTTGTGTGGTCGAACTGATGACATATAAGTGCTCGCTCTGCTCATGAAAGTGTGATACTCCTTAAGATCCAACCCATGGAGCAAACATGGGATAGAAATGTCCATGTTGAATTTCTTGTCCAACTAATGTGGGATTGGTATCAAATCTCACATTTCATAACCTCTATTTTCACATTCCAAGAGGGTCACTTTAGAGCGCTTACAATACCTTGGTTATCACACACACGCGCCGCTTGCTTGCCTCGCCTCGACCATGACTTGACCAAGCTTGGGTCAAAAAGATATAATCTTTTTAGACAATTTTTTTTTGGCTTAGTGCGAGTTATGGGTCAACCTAATAGGATCCGAATGTGGATTATAATTAAATTTTTAATTGAATTTTTAAATTTTTTGCTCATTAGTTTGAATTTGCCGTTGAATTAGGTCTAGTTCATTCAATAGTGTCTATTCACTCTAGAGGTGCTTTTTGTCTGCTCAGATTATAAAAGAATGTCTCTTCAATCTGAACAACCAACAAGACTCTATAAATAGACTGCCTTCAAGCCATTTTCATCAATCCCAATTCTGAATTCAGTATTTAAAGTTTCTTCTCTTTCTCTCTTAACTTATTGTTGCTGCTTCAACTTTAATTATGTAAATCTAAGCGCAGGTTGAGCGAAGTAATATATATATCAAAAGGCCGAGATCGGACCTTTAGGGAATTGTGAAACAGTAGCAATCACACTAATACTATAACAATCTTGTAAAGATTATTTGTTTAAAAGAATATTGAATTGAGAATGTTAATTAAAGTAATTAAAATAGTATGAAAAATACTAGAGCGTTAGATAATCCCTCTCAAATACATACAATAATGATTCAAAACTTAATTCTTACCCCTAGACAAAAATCAAATATCGGTTGATTTAAGTCACCAAATTTAGTAATAATACTACAAGAACACATTTGTTTATAATCAAAAGATTATTTAGGAACCCAAATAATTATCTAATTATATTATTTTGTAAATAATTATAATCAACTTAAGCATGAAATAACCAGTTATGACTCGCAAGAAAATTCAAGCAATCAATGTACATAGCACAATGACTCAAGGATTTTTACAGAGTAAAAACTTTGCTAAGAAATCAAAAGTTGAATTAACAAAATATCACATACCATTAAGCTCATAAGTCAATAACATTACCATATTTCATTGAGAGATCCTCCTCTTGCCTTAGCTAAACCTTTTAACCGGACATAACAAACTAAAATCAAAATAAAAAGATGGGAAAAGAATAATAATAACCTCTTCCTAGATGAGAACCCTTATTTATACTAAAATAAATCCTAAGTATAGATAGAAGATTTAATGTTGGATTGAAATGAATTCATTTCCAAAAAAAAGTCTTGTAAGGTCAAATTCCGTGCATAAAATCTTTGGAGCGCGGGTAAAACATTTGTCTAAACTTTGAACTTGAATTTCACATATTTAAATGCTAATTCATGAAATTTTTTATGAAATATACTTTTGTAGCCCTTGAAATTTATTTCCAACCCTGCAAAAATCAAGTCAATCAGATATCAGAGTCAAAAATTAAGACCAAAATACTAAAGATATGTCAAATCTTTATCTTCTAGGATACTTTCATAATTTAACTTTAAATGAGTTTTCTTTTAACTTGAACTCTTATAAGGATTAAAATTGTTGATATATCTTCATATCTTCTTATCTCAATCCTTATCAATTGGGATTCTTCCTCTAGTGATTGTTTCACTTGTCTTATCTATTATTACTTTAAATCAACCAATTTATTTGTAAAATAAACCAAACAACTAGAAAAAAGTATCAAACTAGAAAATCAAGAAATTTAACACATTTAATCACAAATAATATGTAATTAACCAATCATTAAATATAATAAAATAGCCATTTTGATGATTAATCAACAACATGAATATTACTAGTCTCTAGTAATAC